GCCACCATGCCCAGCCAGGAAAATGAATCTCAAGGTATTTCTCATAATGCCCTAATGATAAACTGAATTTTTATGTCCCTTGAACACGATGGTCCTCTAAATAAAAAAAGTACATTTGCAAATTAGCTGGGCATGGTGGTGCGTGCCTGTAATCCCAGCTACTCAGGAGGCTGAGGCAGGAGAATTGCCTGAACCCAGGAGGCGGAGGTTGCGGTGAGCCGAGATCGCTGCCATTGCACTCCAGCCAGGGTAACAAGAGCGAAACTCCGTCTAAAAAAAAAAAAAAAGTACATTTGCTTTGAATATCTTACATCAACACATTTTTTAAACATCAGGTTTCATACGAATTCTTGTTTTATGACTTACTATAATTACCTGAGTAATATTTCAAAGTATTTGAAACAGTCAAAGAAAGGGTTTTCTTTAATGGTCATGAAGAGAAAAGTAAAGTATGAAATATTTAGTATTAGAAACATCTTTATTTTAAAAAAATAAAGTTGAGTGCTTTCTGAATAATGGATTTTTCCCTTTAACCTTTAGTGTTTCTGAGAAACACTATAATGCTTAGAAACTGTTTGCAGTCTTTAAAGGGGCTCATTTCTGATCTCATCCTTCCTTGAATTTAGGGAAGCTTCTGCAATGGTGAGAAAGATGATTTTGGCTACCCCAAGATTAAGTTTCCTAAAACTGGTAAACACATGACAGACTGATCTTCCTTTATCATACTCTGTATCAGCAGTCCTCAACATTTTTGGAACCAGGGACTGGTCTCATGAAAGACAATTTTTCCAGGGACGGGAAAGGGGGTGTTGTTTAATTTATCATTAGATTCTCATAAGGAAAGATTCTCATAAGGAAAATGTAACTTAGATCCTTCACATGTGCAGTTCACAATAGGGTTTGTGATCCTGTGAGAATCTAATGCCACTGCTCATCTGACAGGAGGTGGAGCTCAGCTTTGCTTACTCTCTGGCCCCTCACCTCCTGGGGCCCTCACCATGGTGGGGACTTGGGGACCCCTGCTCTATATGATAACATTCCATTTTGCTAGTAGTATTGAATATCTGTTATGTACAAAGAACTGTTCTAGTCTTAGAGTTCTGCACCCTGAAGGGCTGAATGAAGAGTAGTCTGGAGCACTACAACCATTCTACCCTTTTTAGGTTTTATGTTGATTCCAAGTTGCCACCACGGTGCCCAACACAGTTTTGGTCTAATGTTGACGAGAAGGGTAATGGTAAGAGTCAGGGAGGGGCAGAAAGACATGGGGTCAGAGACAGACTAGAATGATGTAGGTAGGAGAAGAACCATCAGTGGGATCTAGGATAACTGCAGGCAAAAGGCAAAAGAGGCATAAGGTAAAAGGAAATCTTAAGTAGTTGCTAGTACTATGGAGACACAGGCAGTGTTTTAGTAAGCATATAGAAACCCACAGAAGAAACTGGTGGGAGTGCAACCAGTTGGAAAGAATACAGCTCAATCACAGCCATAGTTCTTGTAAGAGGAGCTGTGATATGTTGGACACTGTATCAGTTCTAGCATCCTGAATGGACGGCACCTAGTCTTAAAAACAAAAACAAAATCACCCTGAACATGGAAAGCAGTTCCTCAGAGAATTGTGTCAAAAGCAAATATGTTGGTTCTTCATATCTTTTTGTAGGGCTTTTTTCCTGAGGTAGGAGGCAAGAATTTATATTGTGTAGTTTTCATGAACTAACAAGACAGTAATTACAACAGACAGCTATAGGGTATATGGCGGATAGCTCTCTCAGACACAGATGGGGGTTGGTAGTGAACTGGCAATTCTAAGTGAGGGTGTCAACAGGTAGGAATGGGAGAAATAGATGAGTTTTGAGGGAGGGTCTGTAGGAGGTATCAGTGGGCACTGATGAAGAGGAATAAAACAGAGGAGAAAGGGATGAAAAGAAAATAATTTTAAAAGGAGGTCAAGGGCATAGGGAGAGGAACAACTATAAAACAAGGGATGGAGATAGGAAAGATAGACAAGTGATTTTAATATATTGGCATCAATCATTGTTGGAGACAGTAGATCATATGATACAAGCCATAAAAAGGTAAAAAGATTAGTTCCTGATCCCAAGGTACTTTGAGTCTTCTGTATACAGCACACAAAATATCATCTTTATTAAATGGTCTACATTCTTATCCTGAGCCTGAAATTATTTTATTATAGTCTGATCACAAAATCCATCAACAATGGAAACTAATGGAAACCAAAATGCTTCAAAACAACCTGTTTTTCCCATAGTAATATCACAAGGGAGTTAGGCTGAGGTTTTAAAAGGGTAGGTATCTCAGGCTTTCTTACTCAGATCAAGGTTTCTCAACCTTGAGAAACGATTTCTATTGACATTCTGGGCCAATTTTTTGATGTCAGGGGCTGTCCTCTGCACTGTAGGATGTTTAGCAGTATCCCTGGCCTCTACCCACCAGATGTCACTAACACTTCCCAGTTGTGATATCCAAAAATGTCTCCAGACAATTTGGTGGGCAGGCTAAGTGGGACAAATGTCCACTGAGAGGCAGAATCACCCTCAGTTGAGGACCCCTGCTGTACAGGAAAATAATCAATCAGATTTCTATGACTGTTCCACATCATATACAATAAAATTCTACTTAGAAATGTTAATGTGACCAGCACTGCTGGATCCTTTCCCTACCCCAGAAAATTATTCCCAACATACCTAAACTCAATGCAGCAATCATGCTAAAAAGTAGTCTACTTTAGAAAGCCTTACCTCATTTACTAGCGAGGACCAGAGGAACTGTCCTTAAATATGACTTGCATAAAGAGCTTACACTGCATTTTTGCGGACTTTCCCCTTCCCTTCTTGCCACACTTCTGGTGCAAACTTCTCCTTTGCCCCTTGAACCAATCATGAATATAGACATTTTATCCTTGATCTAAATCTGTGCTGTCCAATACAGTAGCCACTAAGTACATTTGACTCTGCGACTGAGGAACTAAATTTTTAATTTTAATTAAATTTTAAAACTAGATAACTTTTAAGTATGTGTGAAATAATTTGGATACATGAAGCTATTTTTTTCATTTTAAATTTATGTAATCTCAATATAGATCAATTATTTTTTATGAAAATGTAATATGTGAATTGAGATGTGCAATAAGTATAAACACGCTGGCTTTCAAAAAATATATAGCTGGGCATGGTGGCTCATGCAGTAATCCCAGCACTTTGGGAAGCTGAGGCGGGCAGATCACCTGAGGTTGGGAGTTCAAGTCCAGCCTCACCAACACAGAGAAACCCCATCTCTACTAAAAATACAAAATTAGCTGGGCGAGGTGGCGCATGCCGTAATAGCTACTTGGGAGGCTGAGGCAGGAGAATCTCATGAACCTGGGAGGTGGAGGTTGCGGTAAGCTAAGATTGCATCACTGCACTCCAGCCGGGGCAACAACAGCAAAACTCTGTCTCAAAAAAAAAAAAGAATATAGGATATTTCATTAATAATTTTTGTATTGATTAGATGTTGATATAGTAATATTTTATATATGATCGTTTACATTTAAAATAATTTCGCCTGTCTTTTTACATTTTTAATATAACTACTACTAAGAAAATTTTAAATTACATAGGTGAATCCCATTACATTCCTACTTATTAGACAGAACTGACCTTCAGTTCTGCAGAAGACCGTTCCAGCGAAGGAAAGAACTAACCCAAAGTGTCTGAATCGGAGTGAATTTGGTGTGTTACAGGAACTAAAAAAGGCCATGTGTTGAAATCACTGGATTAAGGGGAAGGTGACATAAGATTAGGTTAGAGAGGTGAGCAGGGCCAGGGTGTATGTTCTAAACGTAATGGGGAACTACTTGAAGGGAGGAATATAATCCGATGTTTGTTTTCAGAAGATCATTCTCGCTCCTTAAAGAGGCAAGAATGAGAAAAGAGCAGAAGTAAGGAAATCAGTTCAGAGGCTACTGAGTAACCCAAGTAAGAGAAGGTGGTGGCATGGCATGGATTTGCAGTGGATATAAAGAGAAACAAACAAATTTAAGGTACATTTTGGAAATGAAAACAGAATCTTGCTAATTGTCAATTCCTAAATTCTGCATGAAAAGATGTTTCTGTATTAGGTCAAACAAATGAAATTCCTGTTTTTGTGGGTCAAAATGGTTAAATACCAGAAATGTTAAAAGGTTTAACCTAATAGAAACAAAATGAAGACAGAGAAGAATCAGAGGAATTGAACAGGAGAAGGGACGTTGAAATGGGGCTTATTTATTAAAATGAAATTTTTATTGTTCTCTTCTCCTTAAATCTCTCTGTGGAAGGCATCCTTGTCAAAAAAAAAAAAAAAAAACCACACACACACAAAACAAACCTTTGTTTAAAGGCAAATTGCCAGCAAACCCGATGAGATTCAGAACACTTCTACAATAACATGTCTGTACAAACTTACACTTCCATCTGGATAGCACATTTCTGTCCAGATGGACAGCAGATAAAACCAGGTCAGCAATAAAAGGCAAGAGAGCACGGAATTTAAAGGAAGAATGGCTGGGTATGAATCCTCGTTTTGCCAGTTACTAGTTATATGACCGTGGCTAATACACTTATTCTCTCTGTGCCTCAGGTTCCCCATCTGTAAAACAGTCTTATAATGATATCTACCTCATAAAATAGGAGTTAAATGAGTGACTAAATGTGAAGAGTTTAGAACAGTGCCTGGCTCATGTTACGAAAGTCTTAGCCCCTACCATTAGCGCCCTTAGATCTTTTTGTTAGCATTAAATTCAGCATTTTCTTCCTACCAAAGCTGCTTAAATCAGTTAACTGGCATTTGATCTTCACGGACTCATTGTATTGTTGCTGTGTTTAAACAATACTCCTGATGTTAACAATTAGCATAATTTGAACCGCTCCCTAATACCTAACCCCAATCCCAACCCGGACGGTCGAGCCTATCCACCGGCCGAGAACAACACCCAGCCTCGCCCTCACTCTGACACTCACCGGCCAGACTTTCTTCCGTCGGTTTTTTGCCTCTGGCCCAGGGCCCAGCTCACGTAGCGTTTTCGGGAGCTGCTTGAGAACCGTTAGCAGCCGGAAGTGGCTAGAGGTCTTGCGAGAACTTAAAAAGGGGGCCGGCCTTTCCCGGCTGCCTGAACACTTGGGTTCCGGCCTGGAAGGAGGCCCAGGGTTCCCGTAAGGAGAAACAAGGGACCCATTTGGATGGATCCAGAAAGATACTGGCGGCTGATTTGAACGAGGCTCGCCGCAGTGGGAACCTCCGGGATGCCTGGTGACTCGCATCTGCGGCGACCCGCAGTTTCCTGTCACGACCCTCTCTCTCCGCAGCTGTCGACCTCGGCCTGCGGCTTCCAGCGCGGGGTCTCGCTGACCGTGACACCTAGGGGGCCGAAGCCGAGGGGCCTTGGGGTGCAAGAGCGGTCCTGCTCCTGCCGCCTCGGGAGAGAACCCCATCGACCGCTGACGGGGAAGGGAGGATTCTCCTGTTTCAGTGCAACCCCGCCGGCGGGCGCCTTAGTCTCCCTGGAGAGAGGCGGGACGTTCTTGACTTTAGGGTGGACTCGGGGAGGGGCGCCGAGGAGCATTTCCCACTTCACGTCGCGAGGTCGCAGACTGCATCTGCTGATGCATTTGCTGATGCATTTGCTGCATGTGCTGATGTATTTGCAATTGCTCGCTGTGATCTGGCAGGACCTTGCAGACTTAACGGAGACGAAAAGTGGCCCATTTTGAGTTTCCCTGATCCTTAGGGGAAATGAGTGTCCAGAGCGAAATAGCAGAGTGCTGGCACTAGAATCCTTTAAACGTGGATTCAAATTCTGACGCCACCACTCTCCAGTTAGGACTCAGGGCAATTTATTTTTTAACCTCTCCAAACCTCTGTTTTCTCGTTTATGTAACGCAGGCTAATAACGTGGTGCCTATTTCGTAGGATGGTTTTGACTGCATGTGAGAACATTCTAAAGGCCTTTCCCTACCTTCCCCCTTGTCTGCTGTCACTCTGATCCACGTCAGACAACTGGGACTAATTAACCAACTTTCGCTTTTGTGAAGCATGGGTAAAGAAAAGTGAAGTTTAGGACTTGGGTAAAGGAGATTCTGAGATCCACTGAGGTGCTCATCCCAGAACTTTAACCTCACTTGGCGTCTGGCACATGGTGGGTGCTTGATAAGTACTTGAATGAATGAGGACGTACTTAGGAGGAAGGAATTACTGAATAAGACTAGAACAGAAGGGAGAGGATGAATCAGATTGATTAGCTACTTGACAAAAAAAGGCAAACCATTTTTCCTGTCAGAAATGTATGGTACATCTGCATATTTGAAGGGCTTGCCACTTACTAGAACTAGGAGGGAGATCTCAGAACAGACACCTCAACTAAAGAAGCTTTAATCTATTGATAGCGAATGTAACAATAGCAAGTAAATAAGACAGAATGTGATCAGTGCAAAATAGAATAATAGTCTTGAGAGAGAGTTATTAGAATAATAGACGAGGGTTTAGATTGAGTAGTGAGCAATGAAATAAGTTCTTTGACTTGGGAGTGCAAGGGAATTGTGACCGGGGTATGGAATAGTGAGAAGGTTATTCTGGAAGGCAAGTAAAGGCAGACAGGACACTAGTGGTAGAAACAAAGGAAAACAATTTTGTCTATCAACGTCCAACAATGGGGGAAGATTACATATGACATATGCTATTAAGGAATACCTTTCAATCGTTAAAATGACAAATAATCAGTGACAAAAGGACTGTCAGTACAATATATTTTCCATTTTTCTTGAAAAAATGCATATGTAGATGTAATTTGTGGGGTATTTGTGCAGGAAAAGGATGCACTCCAAACTTAACAGTGATTACTCCATGTCAAAAGTTGTGAAACTCTTACCCTACTTGCAAGGTAATAATTTAGCTTGCCATAGTTTTATGGATACTAAGAGAAGACACTGGACTCCTGTGTCAGAGACAGAAGACTTTATTATTCACAGGCATCATGAGTTTTATATTCCCTCGTTGCCAAAGCTTATGTTCCCAAAGCCCACAGCGGGGGCTAAGCTTGGCCTTCCTCTCCTAGCATGGAACAGTGGGTTTGTATCCTAGCAGAGGAATTCTAGGCTTAGGAAGCCCAAGAGTGAGCCTTGCCCCAGTGTGAGCCATTATCTTTATTATCCTGATCAGGAAACAAATGTGCTATAGAAGGAGATACAAACATCCTTGAAAAGCTAACCTGAAAGAAAAATCTACCATAAGACTAGAAGTAATTTGAGAGACCATTAAAGAACTGTCTCCCAACATTCTAGGTAAATACCATTTGAGGGTAGAGGTGTCAGCTTTTAAAAATTATATATAATTCTATATTGATTTTTATCATTTTTTTTTAATTTTTAAAAATACAAAAAATAAAAGGCAAGCAGAGAAATTTAAATTTTACTTACAGATAAGGAACCACCCAGGGTTAGTGATTGGGAGAATGATAATGATATTTAAGGACCACGTCTTGGATAGTTAGGAAGACTATCTCATAGTCACATAAGTATTGTGTTGCAATCACATAGGTGTGAGATAATTAGAACTCAGGATGCTGGTTACATTAATGGAGAAAAGTAACATTTCAAAGGAGAAATCTGGCTCTGATACTTTCTCCTTTATCTCATATTTCATTGGGTAAACCAAGGAAGCCTCTCAAGCCTGAATAACTTAGAAATTGGTGATATTATCAACCATTCTAATGGGTATGTGGTGGTAACTCATTGTGGTTTTAACTTTGCATTTCCCTGATGAATAATGATTACTTTTTAATGTACATACTGGCCATTCATTTATCTTTTGTAAAGAAAGTGTTCAAATCTTTTGCCTATTTATGTTGGATTATCTTATTCATTAAACTTCGGGAGTTCTTTATATGTTCTGGATACTAGTTCTTTGTCAGACAGATGTATTACAAATATTTTCCAGTGTGTAGCTTTTTCTTCACTTTCTTAATGGTGCTTTTTGATGAGATGATTTAAATTTTGATGAGAATTTAAATTTAAAAATTTGTAGTCAAATTTATTAATTTTATCTGTTGTAATCAGTGCCTGTGTGTCCAGTTGGAGGAAACTACCTATGGCTTGCCACTTTTACTTCCTATGTGTACACAACTTTGTACATAATATGTACAGTCATAGTTGTGTGCACATTGCTTTTGTACAACTACGTATCTGCACAACTTCAGATTTAAAATTTTGTTACTTATTTGTTTGTTTATGTTGAGACAGAGTCTTGCTCTACCCCTCGGGCTGGAGTGCAATGGCAGGATCTCGGCTCACTATAGCCTCTGCCTCCCAGGGTCATGTGATTCTCCCGCCTCAGCCTCTGGAGTAGGTGGGACTACTGGAGCCCGCCACCACACCCGACTAATTTTTCTATTTTTTGCAGAGATGGGGTTTTGCCATGTTGGCCGGGATGGTCTCAAACTCTTTAGCTCAGGTGATCCTCTCGCGGCTTCCCAAAGTGCTAGGATTACAGGTGTGAACCACTGCACTCAGCCAAAAAAAAAATTTTTTTTAATGTAAAAAAAGAAACTGAAAGAGTTCTAGTCTGACCCCAGTTACGTCCAGTTACCATCCCAGGTGGACGGCATCAGCTGTGAAATAAAGAGGAAAAATAAATACTTTGAAGGAGTTCAGAAGCACTGTAGCTTCCTTGTGTTTTTTATTTACTTGTTTTCATGTGATAATTAGATGACAAAACCCTTAAACCAAAACGACCTGGTCAGTACACAAAATACTGGGAAGTTAGTAATTGGGAGGGGTTAGAAACATTGGTGGTGGCTACCAGTAGGAGCAGATAAAGAGAGATATTAAGGTGAAAATTGGGGGAGCCCTGATAATAAATAGGTGGTCGGGAAAAGTGTTCAAGTAAATAAATACGTGGGACCTAAACAACAAAAAATAACACCTCCCACAACCTCCATCCCTGAAATCCTATTAGTCTCAAAAGTTAAAAGCTCTAATGCAACAGGTACCATGGCAAGTACCATGCCACAGAGATTTCACAAAACTATGAACTGTGAAGAGCAGGAATTCCTCACGAAGTTTGGAGTCTATGTGGGAGGTCTGGATATGTTTATGAGTCGAGAACAGTAAAGTACAGGGTACGTACAAACGCGAGTCGTTAGCATCCTAAGGATTCATGAAGTGCTCCTCCACCAACACCTGCCCAGCCGCCTGTTCACAGCTCCGGCCTTCTCACGTCGGATATCGGCCCCCAGGTGACCGTTACTATTGCCAGCAAACGCGCAGAGCTGCAGGGACACACAAGGCGGAGGGAACACCGAAGTCCGTTATTGCCCAGCACGTCCACTGCCCCAGCGACCGCGCAACCCTGAGGCATGCAGACGCGAGAGGAACCCTAGGCCCAGCACACCGCAGGTGAGGGGCGTGGTCCTCCGGTACCCTCAGTTGCCCGACCATAGAGCTTTTAGACCTCCAGGACTCCTAGAGAGCTTCCGGAAGTGCCTTTGGGGCAAGATGCATGCTGGCCGGTGTTGTGCCTCCGCTGATTTGGGAAGTTAGTGGCCGGAGGGGCAGGACCGAGTACAATTCTCGTCCCCTTTTCTCCCCGACCTCCTTCCCTGTCTGTTTACCTTTTGCAGCCTCCCTTGCCCACGCCGAGCCGCCTCTGCAGCTCACAGTGAGTACGGTCGGGCCCTGGGCCGGAGGAAAGTGGGTGCTTTGTGGCTGGATCAGGCCGCAGCCGAGGACGGGCCTGTGCGGTGGTCGGCGCCGGGGAACGGTTCTGACGCCTTAGTTGCGGGTGTAGGCAGAGTAAGTGCCCGCGAATTGCCCTCGAACTTTTTGCGAGGGAACACTTTTTATGAAGGTTAGCTTTGTTCATAGCTAATCGTTTTCTGGTATGATTTTGTAGTCGATCGTATTTATTTTAAAATGGGAAACTGCCCCCCATGTTATTTTTTATCCAACTATTTCCAGGGTCTCAATTGTTTTCACTTAGCACTATTTTGCGTTTCGGTCACAAAAAAATTCTCGTTTTTTAAGAAAGAGGTATTTTGCTTTTGGAAGCCGCAGTTATCCACAAAAATCCATTTTTGCTGTTTCTCTGCTTTCTTTAGTGTATTAAGAAACTGGTGGTGTATTGACTGGATAATTGTACAAAAGGTTGTTTTTTTTTTTTAAATATCGGTAATACAGAATTCAACATTATCAGAATGCCTATTTCATTTGTTAAAGCAAACTGAAAGCCAACGAGGAACTCTGGGAGGGGACCCATTTCCAAAACTCTGGTTAGTAATGAGTAATTTTTGTCAGGCTACTTTGACTGCCACCGCCACCTTTAAAAACGTTTCTGTTCTTATTAGTTCCGTTGAGTATATTTACGTAGCAGTCATTGTTTTAGCAAATGTATACATGTTTTGAATTTCAGTTGTGAAATGTAAAATGTCATAGATGTTAATTAAAACTTTCAGCTAATGCAATTTGAGATAACAATAAAGCATAGAAAATGTAAAAGGAAAATGTAAAAATCAGTCTATATTTAGTGCTTACCAACAATACAGACATGTATGTACAAAACTAAGAGGAAAGTACATAGTGGAGTAATTTTGCACTCATTTATTTGTAAGTTGTAATTCTCAAAAACTAGCTGATTAGAGAGGGAAAAGACTACAAAATGGAAAATTAGCCACTAAATAGAATAATCAAGATGGGCAATGGACAAGACCTGTTGGCTCATTTGGTATAAAAAATCAACAAACCTGAAAATTAGCTGCCTTTCATCAGTGTCGCTATTGAGACTTTAATGCCACGTCAACACTATAAAGTTCTTGAATGCTGCGCCTTTCACATTAAAATATTTTATAGCCTTCTGTACTGGTGAGCAATGGGATTGCACCTGTGAATAGACACTGCTCTCAAGCCTGAGCAACACAGACCCTGTCCCTAAATAATATTAATAATAATAATAAATATTTTATAGCCATTATGGATGAGGATTGCCCAGTAATGAATGGCTAGTTGTTCAGTAGTTAAAAATGAACCTTGGCTTAAAGGAGATTTGCAAGAAAGCATGGTAAGACTTTCACCATATAACATCACATTCTAAACAGTTAGAATTTATGTCCCATATAATGATCTTTAAGTTTTTAGCATTAAACCATGAGTAGCTATTTTAAGAAAATGTAAGTTTGTTTGTTAAATTGTAATTGATTTAAAAAATTATTTTAAAATGAACTAAGAATTTTAAAATAAATTATCTTAAATTATAATGTATTCAAACAGAAACAAATAGATAATTTGTTCAAACGAAATTGATTACCCTTTCTCAACAAAATTTCAGCATCCTCCTCAAATTCACTCTTCACCCAAATCTCACTATTCTAGCAAATTCCTCCACTCTTCTGTAAAGTCATCATCAGTGAACTTGACCCCTGATGTTAATTGCTATATTTAACTATATATTTTGCTCCTTAGTTCTTCTAATCTGTAGTTTACTCCCTATCCTGTTGTTTCTGGCCTTGTCTAGCTTTTAAAATAATTTTCAAATTCCCTTCCTTTTCTGTATGCACTCTCTAAATAGAATTTGTTCGTTTGTTTGTTTTTAACCTCCTGGCATTCTTGGATGGCCTTTGAGTCTATGAACTCTGCTGAAATTGTAAAATTTTGCGTCTATGAACATTTTGCTGGAAAGAAGTTCTGTGTTTTCTTTAGGTTGAAGAGTCTGTAAACCAACCGCCTCCCCCATCGCCTCCAAAAAAAACTGAAAAGATAAGCACTGCCTTGATGATCCATATTGAGAACTATAGGTACAGTAATCCGATTTTATTCCTAAGTACTTATTTTTTCTTTTCTTTGTGGACTGTAGGTCTCTGGTTTTATCTATGTTAGCACAGATGTTAGCATCTCATGCCAACTGGTTTTAGGTGTGCTACTTTTACTTAATGCTGTTCTTTATTCTCTATGGTGTTGCCTGAAATACAAAGATAATGGTCACCTCCACCAACAAACATTTCCACATTCTCACAATGCAGTAAGTCCTGTATTTGGACCATATAAAAAATGCTTTGGTAGGAATGACAAATGGCAGGGGAATGACAGAGAAGAACTCATCAAAAAGTTAATAGATAAATTACTGTTAACAGTTGAATGGTTTTAGCTAGACCAAGATTTATCAACCTTGGTATTGACACTTTGGGCCAAATAATAATTTGTGGTGTGGGCTGTGTTGAGCATTGTAGGATCCCTGGCCTGTATACACAAGATAATAGTAGCACCCCTTCCCTCCAAAGTCATGACAACCAAAATATTTACAGACATTACTAAAGGTCCCTGGGATGGGGGTAAGGATGATATTGCCATCAGTTTTGAACCACTGAGCTAGAGTAGAGAACTCTGTAGTCGAATGGAAGTATGAGAAAGCTACAGCCCAAAAGGCTTTATGAAAGTGAGTTTAAAGTAGTTAAAGCCAGGTAGGTTTACATTTATAAAGGGCCTTGCATACCGTGCTAAAAGAATTTGGTTCCCTGTTGAAGCATTGTCAGGAGGTGAGTCATATTACATGTTTTTTTTAAAAATCTCCTTGGCAGTTTAGGGCTACTGTAAAAAAAAAAAGTTTCACAAAATTGGTAGTTTAATACAATAGACACTTACTGTCTCATAAGTAGGGAGGCTAGATGTCCAAAATCAGCGTGTTGCCAGGGCCATGCTCTTCTAGCTTCTGGTTGTTACTGACAAACTTTGGCATTCCTTGGCTTGCAGCTGCATGACTCTATCTCTGCTTCTGTCGTCACTTAGCTCTCATTCATCTGTGTGTCTGTGTCTTCACATGATCTTCTCCTTTCTGAGAGTCTGTCTCTGTGTCATTTCGTCATTTCTCATTTTGAAAGTGTGCCATTCATACTGCTTTAATAGCCTGCCCATTCCAGTATAACTTCATCTTAACTTGATTACATCTACAAAGCCCATATTTCCAAATGAGGTCACATTCACAGGTACTGGAGGTTAGGACGTCAGCATATCTTTTTGGAGGACACATTTCAATCCACAGCAGACAACATTGTGGAACACGAATAGGAAAAAGCATAACCAAGGTTACCACTACAGTTCTAGGCAAGAGATGATGTCTATACCAAAGATAGAAATCATAAACCTGGCCGGGCACGGTGGCTCAAGCCTGTAATCCCAGCACTTTGGGAGGCCGAGGCGGGTGGATCACGAGGTCAAGAGATCGAGACCATCCTGGTCAACATGGTGAAACCCCGTCTCTACTAAAAATACAAAAAATTAGCTGGGCATGGTGGCGCGTGCCTGTAATCCCAGCTACTCAGGAGGCTGAGGCAGGAGAATTGCCTGAACCCAGGAGGCGGAGGTTGCAGTGAGCCGAGATCGCGCCATTGCACTCCAGCCTGGGTAACATGAGTGAAACTCTGTCTCAAAAAAGAAAAAAGAAATCATAAACCTATATTTCACAAAGAAATGGGATCATGGAGTTGAACTTTTTTTTGGATATCAGGTCTTGTTTGTAAACCTCACTCTTAGAAGAAATATAAACATATTCTGTGTTTGCTGTTGTAAATATGGCTAATGTTTTTTGATTCTATGAATAAGATAAAGATGGATCTTTGGCCATGGGAAAAATAAAATTAAGTTATGAAGTCAAAATTCCTTTGGAACTAATAAGTATACAGCTATAGGAAAAGTAACATTAAAGCAGTACGCATTTAAGTAACAGAGGTATAGAATGAGAGGAAAATACCTTCCAACTGGAGTCACCAGGAAAGGATTTTAAAGGCAATGGTATTTTATCTTGTCCTTTAAGAAGGTAGTGTTGGTACTGATGAAAGAAGTCAAAGAAGACTTCAGCGGAGAGACACATTGTGGTCGTGGAATGGAAAACTCAATATTGTTAAGATATCAGTTGTCCCTAAACTGACCTATGGATTCAGTACAATACAATTCAAGGATTTTTTTATAGAAATAAATATACTGATTCTAAAATATGTATCAATAGTCAACAGAACTAGAAAAGTCAAAATGATTTTGAAAACGAACAACAAAGTTGCAAGACTCACATCTACTTGATTTTAAGATTTTAAAAGTCACACAATCAAGACAGTTCTGTATTGGTGAAAGAATAGATGCATAGGTCAATGAAAAGAATAGAGATTCAAGAAATAGACCCTTATGTATACATACATAAAGTGAACTGATATTTGACAAATATAGAAAGTTACATAGCTAAAAGGAGAAACCTTAAAATGATCCTCCAGCCATACCTCAAATTCTATACAAAAAATTAACTCAAAATGGATCATAGGCATAAATGTAAAACCTAAAACTATAAAACTTTAGTAAAAAACAGGAGAAAATATTTGCGACCTTGGATTAAGCAAAGATTTCTTAGCTATGACACAAAAGCACAGTCTCTAAAAAAATATGAACTTTTGTTCTTCAAAAGGCCCTGTGAAAAGAGTGAAAAAGGGAATACTTACAAATTACGTATCTCATAAAGGACTTGTGTCCAGAGTATATAAGGAACTCTCAAAACTTAATTAAAAAAAAAAAAAAACTAATTTAAAAAATAGGCAAAAGTTTTGAACAAATACGTTACTAAAGAAGATATATAGACATTAAACACCTAAAAAGATGCTCAACATTATTGGTAGGGAAATACATACTAAAACCATATGAGATATTAAAACTGCAATGAGGTGCTGCTACACATACACCTCTTAGAATATCTAAAATTAAAAACAAAAACAATATAAAGTGCTGGTCAGAATGGTGAGCAACTGCAATACTCATATATGGATAGTGGAATGCAAAGTGCTTTGGAAAACGGTTTCACAATTTTTTATAAAGTTACACATGTATGTATTTTATGACAAAGCAATTTTACCTCTGAATATTTGCCCAAATAAAGTGAAAACTACATTCACACAAAAATTCATGTAGATGTTCATAGTGGCTTTATTCATATTAATAAAAAACAAAACAACTCAGATATTGCTCAACTGGGAAATGGAGAAGCATTTAAACATTCATCTACATAAGGAACAAACTGCTGCTACAGCGTTGATAAAAACAAGTGTATTATGCTGTGTAACAGATGCCAGACTCAAAAGACATACTGTATGATTTTATTTATGTGAGATTCTGGAAGTTCGTTTAGTGTGGTGGGAGTAGACTTTTGGGTTGTAGGTGTTGATAGGGCATTCAGGTTCCTTGGAGTGCTCCATAGAGAGTTCTTGAATTGGAGGTAAAGTCCATAGTAGAGGAAGTCAGCCTTGAGATAGGAGGAAAGATAGGGAGCACAGGTAGGATAAGGAATGTTAGGTGTAGAAGAACAGAGTGTTAGGAAAGTTTTTTGACAATACCTTGAATTAGATAGTATAGAAATTAGTCTCATATGTTAAGAGTAAGAGAAAGATTGAGAGCTGAAGTGTGTAGAAACAGTTTAGTACAGCTGGTGTAACAAAGGCTAAAAGGGGTTAAATGAGTATCCCTGAAGGCCAGCTGAGATTAAACACAGAATTTCAACTACATGGTTTCCTGACTTTGTTTAGCCATGTTCCATATCCCCAAACATGGTGATGAAGGCATAAGGAAGGGGTTTTTCTATGGATGGTTTGCATGACTAGCATGGCAGAAAGTTAAGGAGGTAAGTAGTTATTTCTGAAACAGAGGGGAGGATCATTTAATTGGCTGAGCCATGAAGTCCATGTCATGATAAGGAGCTTGTTAAGATACGATAGTAAGTTACAATGACTTTTGACTTGCCTTAACACTATTATATTTTCTTCATGAAGAAGTACCCTTAGAAAAGAGACCCTCAGAAGAGTCTTCTCTTAAGAAGATAAAGAAGGTAGTGGAAACGAGCATCCTGAGCTTTTCAGGCCCTAAATGGCTGAAGAATCAAGAAAACCTTCAGCCCCATCCCCACCAGACCAGACTCCTGAAGAGGATCTTGTAATCATCAAGGTAGAGGAGGATCATGGTTGGGACCAGGAATCTAGTCTGCATGAAAATAACCCTCCTGGCCAAGAACTATTCCGCCTGCGTTTCAGGCAGTTATGCTATCAGGAGACACTAGGACCCCGAGAAGCTCTGATCCAACTACGGGCACTTTGCCATCAGTGGCTGAGGCCAGATTTGAACACCAAGGAGCAGATCCTGGAGCTGCTGGTGCTGGAGCAGTTCTTGACCATCCTACCGGAAGAGCTCCAGACTCTGGTTAAGGAACATCAGCTAGAGAACGGAGAGGAGGTGGTGACCCTATTAGAGGATTTGGAAAGGCAGATTGATATACTAGGACGACCAGTAAGTAGAAGGAGGTGTGCATGCTGTGACTGTGGGAGTCCTGGAAGCTTGGTAGAGGGACATAGGCATGATAGTGGGAGAGGAAATGATTAGCATCAGTTTCTGTTTGATAAGGATGAAAATAGTTTTAGTGTAGTATGGCTTGTAGAGTTCTTTTTACTTTTGTAAAGAATATAAATTCTTTTTTTTGGCCATCATAACATCCCTACAACTGTGTTGTTCCTGTTTGCCAGATGGGAACTTGATGCATAGGGAGCTTAAGTTACCTTTTCAAGGGTACCCAAATAATTAAAGATAAATTTGAGAAATCAGGCTTTCTAGTTCCTTATTAAAGGATTTTTCTACTGCATAGCACTGGCTTTAAGTTTGTTTATTATTTTCCTCCATCCTCTGCTTTAGGAGCACAAAATATTGTTCTGTGTAGCAGGGAAGGCATCAGCAGAAATATTTTCCTTTAGTACTGAGCAAAAATGATGCCTTTCTTTCTGTGCTAGTCTACATATTTGTGTTCCTTACTGTCTCTATGAAGTAAGGGAGATTCTCCTACTTCATTCCCCAAGCATATATCCCTATAGAGGTGTTCTTGGTCCTCTTTCATTGTTCACTACATTTCTCAAAGGGATTCCTTATTATCCAAATGTCTGTTGTTTTTAGATGTCAGCTCGTGTACGTGGACATAGGGTACTCTGGGAGGAGGTAGTACATTCAGAATCTGCACCAGAGCTTCCAAGTACTCAGCTCCAATCTGAGGCAACCCAGCATAAATCTCCAGTGTCCCAAGGGTCACAAGAGAGAGGTGAGTAGCCAGATTTCATTGATGACAAGTGGGGAAAGTTGAAAGAAAAGAAGTCCATTTGGGATACCTATCTAGTTGTTGAAGAACCAAGAACTGAAATCCTGTTTACAGACCAGTCCCAATGTCTGTGTTTAAATGTTTAGGCTTCAAATATAGACTGTTCATCCTAGTGGCAAACTCATGAACAAATTAAAGAATTTGGGTATTTTTTATGTATTTACATACTTCTGTTACCCCAGTACATTTACAACATAGGCGTTTTTGAGTTTATGCTGATATTGTCATACCACTTTATTTGGAAATATTTCAGTATGTATTTCCTCCGACAAGAGCATTTCTTAGGTAACCTAAATAAATAAATTTCTAAATTTATCACAGTTAAGAAATAAAATATTGCAGCTGGGCACAGTGGCCCACACCTGTAATCCTAGCACTTTGGGAGGCTGAGGTCGTTGGATCACCTGAGGTCAGGAGTTCAAGACCAGCCTGGCCGTCATGGTGAAACCCCATCTTTAAAAAAAAAAAGAAGGAAAGAAATACAATATTGCTACAATACTAATAGTAGATCACAGTTCATATTTTGTCAGTTGCCCCAATTATGTTCTTTCTGGTCCAGAGTATAGTCCGATATTGCACTTGGCAGTTAGTTGTCATGTCTCTTTAGTCTTCTGTAATTTGGAATAGTTCCTTGGCCTTTCTTTTTTTGAAGAGTACAGGTGTGTTATGTTGTAGAATGGCTGCAATTTGGATTTGCGTGATGTTTGCTCATGTTTACAATGAGGTCGTATATATTTGGCAGGAACACCTCACTCTGCCAAGGATACATGACCTAAGTCTTAACAAGAGATGTTGTACTCCTTCTCAGATGTACAACAGGAATTTGTCCTATTATTGGTGGTGTTATCTTTGATGACTTGGTTAAGGTTATTCTTGCTCGGTTAATCATTGTATAGTTACTGTTTTTCCCTTTGTAACTAATAAGTAACTTTTAGAAGATACTCTTGAGAGTATGTAAATATCTTAGTCCTTATTAAACTTTTGTTACTAAAACACTGGTTTTAGTGTTCATTGGTGCTTCTTGACTGACTTAGTGATTACTAGAATGGTTATGAAATAGTGATTTCTTAATTCTGTCATTCCTTCTACATTTCTTTATTGTACAGAAGAGTGTTCTGTTCTCCCGATTTTATTATTTTTATTTATCAATATGGGCTCATAAAATCCTATTTATTCCATAAGTATTTTGTTACTGTCTTTATTTTGTTTTTGTTTTGTCTTTGAGACAGTCTCACTCTGCTATCCAGACTGGAGTGCAGTGGCACAATCTCGGCTCACTGCAGCCTCTGCCTCTCAGGTTCCAGCAATTCCTATGCCTTAGCCTCCGCAGTAGCTGGGATTACAGGTACATGCCACCACACCTGGCTAATTTTTGTATTTTAGTAGAAACAAAGTTGGCCAGGCTGGTCCCAAACTCCTAGCCTGAAGTGATCCTCCCACCTCAGCCTCCCAAAGTGTTGGGATAACAGGCATGAGCCACTGTGCCCGGCCAGTGTCTTTATTTTGATGCTAAATAATCTGAGATTTGGCCATAGAAGGCCCCTTCAGTCTGGCTCTTGTGTCCTCTTGATATTTTCCCATCATTTCTTAAATTTTTTTACTTTATTGCAGAATGAGATGTTCCAGTATCATCTTCCCCTGCATTTCATATGTTTTCATTTGTGTGATTTAGTGTAGTTTATATTTATGAATTTTTTATATTTCTAAAGAAACATTAAAACACTCTTAATAATTCTTGTCTGAAGTCCTAAAGCTTATTGCCTGAGATATAGTAATCTATATTTTAATAATAAGCTGTTTGATATCTGTAGAAAGCAAATACTGGAAGCCATAGTAGACATTTCAGAAAGGTAATGAATTAATAGAGATTAATTCTGATACTTAGTTTGCCAAGAGATCAGAACCTAAGGAAATACTGTATACAAGCACAAAGATAGAGGTAGTTTTGGGCCGGGTGTGGTGGTTGGATCACTTGAAGTCAGAAGTCAAGGCCAGACTGGCTAACATGGTGAAACCCCATTTCTACTAAAAATACAAAAAGTTAGTCAGATGTGGTGGTGTGCATCTGTAATCCCAGCTGCTCGGGAGGCTGAGGCAGGAGAATCACTTGAACCCAGAAGGTGTTGGTTGCAGTGAGCCGAGATCATGCCATTGCACTTCAGCTTGGGCAACAAGAGCAAAACTCTGTCAAAAAAAAAAAAAGTAGTAGTTTTGATGGTAGAGAAGAAACTGAAAAGCGATTCCTGTTAGGAAACCAGTATACTTTCTGTTTTTTAGTGGAACTTCAGTCTGACTTCAGGGACATCGGCATGAATATGCTTTGTGGGGCAACCATACATATAGGCCCAGAATCCAAGATATCAGTACTTCATGTGCAAAATTTTTGGCACACATGTATATCTGCTGAAATATAAATAATTTGGAATAGGTGAGTGCCAGCCCCCAAAACCACAGGACAGGGCTGGTCTCATTCATAGCTCCTTTCTCCTCTCAGCCATGTCTACTTCTCAGAGTCCTACTTCTTCCCAGAAAGGAAGTTCTGGAAACGAGGAAATGACAGCTACACTTCTCACAGCAGGATTCCAGGTGAGTTGTGCTCTTTCTCATTGAAACTCCATAGCTTTGCTTGGCAGTGTTTGTGGTGTCTGCCCTATATCTAGACTGTCTAGTTTGTAGCAGTACTTACTTGTCTCAAAAATTCTTTTGCCTAGGGACAGATTGATCCTGAATTTCCCCCAATAAATCTCATGCATTTTCCTCTTCTTCCTGGCTATTCAGATCCCTTTACATAGTACATTCCCAAGTCTTAATCCTTTCCCAATACTGATGGATCTCTCAAACTCTAGGTTTGAGCTGTGAAACACTCCAGTCCCCAAATGGGGATCTTGTTTTGTTTCAGACTTTGGAGAAGATTGAAGACATGGCTGTGTCCCTTATTCGAGAAGAGTGGCTTCTTGATCCATCACAGAAGGACCTGAGTAGAGATAACAGGCCAGAAAATTTCAGAAACATGTTCTCCCTGGGTAAGGAGAGCTGTCATTATTATTGTCCTGTTAGATTTTTTTGTTTTGTTTATTGTGTATGTGTATGGTAACTACAGCCTTTCTGAAAGACATAGTTGAGTTTAAACTCAGGATCCAACAGAGGGTTATAATGTTGAGATTTCTTGAAGTTTTACATGAAACCTCTGTTCTCCTGTCCAGAACTTTCTGACATTTTGTGCCTGGGTACTGGCATGTTTGCCATTGGGGAATTGACATCTTACAGATACTTTCTGAGTTCATACATTTCCTCTCCAAGTGTCATGGGAATCCTTCGTAGATTTTTCTAACATAAATTAATTGTATGTTCTCCTTTTGATGACTATTTAGGGGCATTTGCCCGTTTCTATCCTACTAATTAGTTCTTTTAGTAGTTCCATATTCCTTCTCACTCCCCAATTTCACCTGACTTCAGTTGATCCTTTCCTGATTTTCGTTCCCCTTCCAATAACTCTCTTTTTTTAATGGCACCTCTTTCCTAGTTGACTAACTCATATTAAGCAAAGTCACTATTAAGAAGCCATTTTGGAGATAGAAGTTTTGTGTTTACTTATAGGCGTTCTATGTGTACTTTCCTTTTTCCCTGTCTTCAGTTTCTCCTAGCATAAAGAGTAAGAAGTGACAGTGGCTTGATGTTTATTTTTTACGTTTTAATTTCAGGTGGTGAGACCAGGAGTGAGAACAGGGAATTGGCTTCAAAACAGGTAATATCCACTGGAATCCAGCCACATGGAGAGACAGCTGCCAAATGCAACGGGGATGTTATCGGGGGTCTTGAGCATGGAGAAGCCCGAGACCTTCTGGGCAGATTAGAGAGGCAGCGGGGAAATCCTACACAAGAGAGACGACACAAATGTGATGAATGTGGGAAGAGCTTTGCTCAGAGCTCAGGCCTTGTTCGCCACTGGAGAATCCACACTGGGGAGAAACCCTATCAGTGTAATGTGTGTGGTAAAGCCTTCAGTTACAGGTCAGCCCTTCTTTCACATCAGGATATCCATAACAAGGTAAAACGCTATCACTGTAAGGAGTGTGGTAAAGCCTTCAGTCAGAACACAGGCCTGATTCTGCACCAGAGAATCCACACTGGGGAGAAGCCGTATCAGTGCAATCAGTGTGGGAAGGCTTTCAGTCAGAGTGCAGGCCTTATTCTGCACCAGAGAATCCACAGTGGGGAGAGACCCTATGAATGTAATGAGTGTGGGAAAGCTTTCAGTCATAGCTCACACCTCATTGGACATCAGAGAATCCACACTGGGGAGAAGCCCTATGAGTGTGATGAGTGTGGGAAAACCTTCAGGCGGAGCTCACATCTTATTGGTCATCAGAGGAGCCACACTGGGGAGAAACCCTACAAATGCAATGAGTGTGGGAGGGCCTTCAGTCAGAAGTCAGGCCTTATTGAACATCAGAGAATCCACACTGGAGAAAGACCCTATAAATGTAAAGAATGTGGGAAAGCTTTCAATGGGAACACTGGTCTCATTCAACACCTGAGAATTCACACAGGGGAGAAGCCCTACCAATGTAATGAGTGTGGGAAAGCCTTTATTCAGAGGTCGAGTCTCATTCGACATCAGAGAATCCACAGTGGTGAAAAATCTGAATCTGTAGGAGTTTAGGAACAACTTCAGTTATCGTTTGAGCATTATTCAGCATTAGAGAAACCACACACTGGTGAGAGGTCTTTCAGTGTACTAAAAAGCAGAAAGGTCATTGCAACTTTAGTGCCAGAATCTATAGTGGTGGCAAAGTTAGAATAGCTTTTTAGTAATTTGGGCCCAGTGCCTTCATGAAGATTGATTAGCTTGACTGTCTTTGAAAGTATCTGATGGAGCTCCTGATGGCTTAATGTATCCTTTAGAAATTTAAAATAGCATTAGAGCAAGTTGCTTGTCATGGCTTGAGGCACTTAATTTTGTCTTTTGGGTGAGTAGCTATAGGATTGAGAGAGGCTGCTACTCCTAGTTCCTCTGCTTCTTCCTATCTTCTGTGATCCCCCTCCCATTTATTCCCTTGAAGGTGCCCTTGTATTCCTAATCTGATCTAAGAAGCTGCTCTAGAGTCAGAAGTAGCTTCTATGTGAAACTTATATTTGTATGTAGCTTTCTAGAAAAATTTTTACAGACACTTAATGTATTTATGCTGAAGTATGCATTTTTTTATTCTAAATTCCCTCTAGTCACTGGGAATTTGTATTCCCATGCAAACGCAGAATGCTATATTTTTAACAGCACTCATTTTTCTTCATATATGACCTTCACTGACTCCATTGAGTCACTAAGCATTCATGCATATCCTTCATCACCCCCAGTCCCGGTACCTGTGTCATCATAGGAAGTGGGTACACCAGTGATGGTTATGGGAGTTAATACAGAGAAAGAAGTGAGTGGAAACTCAGCCCAGCTGTTCTTGAGCTTGGATAGTTATACATTTTGGTGACTTACGACTCTCCTTCCACCTCCCCACTGTACACTGTGGTACAAATAGATGCTTGCACTATCCTAGTTATGGCATCAGATAGGAGAAGGAGACAGAGGTGCTTTAGGAAGACAAAACTCTTTACAAAGAATGTATACTCATCCTTTTTGGCCCATTACAGTACTGCTTTCTCAGGTTCTTATCAGCCTGTGCAAACTCCCTGACAAGATAGTCTGTCACTCCTGTCATTACCTTGCACCCACCTCTGTAGATGGCCTCAGCACCTCACTCATTATTCTCCATTTGTTTCTTGCCATTAGTTTATATGACTTTAATATCCACAGTGATAATCTAATACCTTACCTTACAGTTTTTCATTCTTTTGAACTCTGGTGCACTCCATCCGTAATCCATGTCTGTAATCTACCAACAAAGATATACTGTTAAACTCACTATCATCAGGTACTATATTTCATCTTTGAGGCTTTCACTATACCAAGGAATACTGTATAAAGTAATGAGACTTGTTTAAAGTAACATGCCAGAACTTACGCATCCAATGTGGGTTATCACTTGTTATTCCCAAGTACTGTTATTCCAGTAGTACTACTATATGCTTCCAAATGTTTGGAACACTCTTAGAATTCCCATTTAATAAACAATATGAGAAAACCTTCTGTTACACTTCATTTTAATCATTTGAGTAGCCACTGATTTACCAGAGTTGAAATTGAGTAATTTTTGGCTTACCAAAATTTACCTTCAAACTTAAAATTGATTCCATTAAACCTATTCAGAAGAAAATTATATAGGTTCTGGTGAAAAGTTCACGATTTCACCCTGTGACTGTCCTGAAAAGGAATAACAGTTAATCATATTATTTTTTATTGATGAGTCAGAAAAAGCAATGAAAATCTTTCCTCATAGAGGACCACCTTTTGAGTCATCAATTCTTTCCCTATAACTTTCCTTCTCTGCCTCACTAAAGCCCTTGACCACCAACATCATAGTTAATCTACATCAATTTCATTAAGCAGTTGGTGAATGAAGGCACCCATCATTTGTCACATTGGTTTTCAACAGTCCTTTTCATTGTCATTTATTTTCTTATCCTCCCGTCTCGTTTCTTTTTTTGATTTATAAGTTACCATTCCTAATTTCTTTGTACTTGAAATTTCAAGAAACCAAAAACAAGTAAGTCTGATTGTGTCTAGATCTTCACTCTCTGTTTTCAGTTGTGCCTTACGCTTTGTAAGATACCGATTCTTCCTGGGGCCAGTACTACCTTGTATGCAAATATTAAGTATGATGGCTTCATTGTCAGAGGGAAAATACGTGTGTGTGCACGTGTATGTACACACATACCTGCTGTACACTTGGGAATAGAGGAACAGTTCCCTTCTATTCCAATAAAAAGCCCTTTTAGCAAAGCAACATAATAACAAGATTGGGTGCATTCAGGGTGGTATGGCCATAGACCAGAACAACATATTGAAGTATGTACAGATGTACCAGCTAAAGTCTCTTTATGCATCAGTATTCAGAGTAATGTATAGCCAGATTACTTAAATCTCAGAATTACTAAGCATCTGGCATAAATTCAGAGAAAATAATATGACTGGAAAAATTAGTGTTATGTTGGGGTATGTGAAAAGACTGTGTCTTGAAAGAATTATCAAAGCTGATACAGCACATACATAACAATTAGCCAAATAGTATAACACAATAGAAAAAGGCTGTGGATTCTTTGAGGACATCAGCAGAAGTCATTCTTTGTCTCAAGTTCACACTGTTAGCGTAGAATATTGTTGACTAGACTATATGACATTTTGAGCGCTTAAAACTGTGAATGGCATGCATTAAGCTCCTTTATCCTACAGATTCTATCTTTATGTTCATCTGAAATGAATGGTTCATCAGTACTTTCTCCTCCCATCCTAAGCTTCTCATTTTAGGACCTAACATGATAAGGTGGTTCTTCCATAATTCTTAACGCCATCCAACATGGCCCTGGAAGAGGCATCTTAGGTTTCAGAGATTTTCTCCATGGGGCAACGTGCAGTACTAGAATGTGTGGTTGATTCCCATACAGAGCAGTTAACTTCACTCTTGGTTCTGAGTCTCCAGATAATAAACGCTGACATTTATTAAGCACTTAGTGTGTACCCAACCCTGTTACGCCTTTCTCAGGGTAATGATAGGTCTTTTCTCATGCTGCTAATAAAGACGTACCTGAGACTGGATAATTTATAAAGGAAAGAGGTTTAATGGACTCACGGTTCCACATGGCTGGGGAGGCCTCACAATCATGGCAGAAGGCAAGGAGGAGCAAATCATGTCTTACATGGATTGTAGCAGGCAAAGAGAGAACTTGTGCAGGGGAACTAAACTTCTCTTTATAAAACCATCAAATCCCATGAGACGTATTATCACAAGAACAGGGCAAGAAAGTTGCGCCCCCAAGATTCAGTTACCTCCCACTGGGTGCCTCCCATGACACATGGGAATTGTGGGAGCTACAATTCAAGAAGAGATTTGGATGGGGACCCAACCAAACCATATCAGTAGGTATTATTTTATCCCCCATTTTATAGATGAGGAAACGAAGGCTTAGAGAGTTGAATAAGTTGACGGATGTCACATAGCCAGTAAGTGATACAACAGATTCTGACCCACAGGGTTTGATTCTAGAGCCTATGCTCCTGACTACTGTGCTATGCTGTGTATGATGAACATGGTAATTCTAGCTAGCTGTTTAAAAACGCGTAGCCCGGCCGGGCGCGGTGGCTCAAGCCTGTAATCCCAGCACTTTGGGAGGCCGAGGCGGGTGGATCACGAGGTCAAGAGATCGAGACCATCCTGGTCAACACGGTGAAACCCCGTCTCTACTAAAACTACAAAAAATTAGCTGGGCATGGTGGCACGTGCCTGTAATCCCAGCTACTCAGGAGGCTGAGGCAGGAGAATTGCCTGAACCCAGGAGGCGGAGGTTGCGGTGAGCCGAGATCGCGCCATTGCACTCCAGCCTGGGTAACATGAGTGAAACTCCGTCTCAAAAAAAATAAAAATAAAAATACGTAGCCCTTGTTATGGGGGTTATGGGGAAGAGAATATGGAGTAGAGTGCAAATACGTTATAATCACTGGAAATTTGGTTGAAAATGCCCTTTTGGGTTATAATTATATCATCTTTAAGTGTTGATGCTTTTTAGTACTACAGAGTTAAATTGTGCAAATAAAACATTTAACAGAGTAACTGGGAGGATAAAGCAGTAATAAATTCAAATATATTTTTCTCTAAACTGCCTAAGGGGAGGTAGAATTGTGGAAGAAAATGAAATATCCACGTACCAGGCCAGGCAGATGGTCACTTAGGATGGCACTAGAAAATTCATCTATAGCATAAAATGTGAACTACTTTCAACCTCATTGCCTGTTTCCAACTACCATTCTGTTTCTCGTCTATTGCTCTATCATTCATGATTTTTCAAATATGTCTTCCATTTCTCAACCCCCCTTTTTCTCAACCCCCACTTTACGTTAATCTGTTCCTAAAACAACTTCTTACTGGCTTTTATACGTAGCATTCCAGTAAAACGTTCTTAGACTCACCTGTGGACAAATAGTAAGGCCTTTTTTTTTTTTTTTAAGTTCTTGTCCTTTTTGATCTAATTTATATTTTATATTGTCGGATCATCCCTCCTTTGGCTTGTATGATCCTTTTTCTCCAATATCTGGCTTTTTGTTTTAACTGATCTTTCCCATTCCCTCTTCTCCCCTTCTCTACTGAAAATACTCTCCCTGTCTTACTTTTGTTCACTTCATCTTCGTACTTTTCTTTTCTTTCCTTTATTTCTTTTGAGATGGAGTCTCACCCTGTTGCCCAGTCTGGAGTGCAGTGGTGCGATCTCTGCTCACTGCAACCTCCGCCTCCCGGGTTCAAGGGATTCTCCTGCCTCAGCTTCCCAAGTAGCTGGGATTACAGGCATGAACCGCCACACCTGGCTAATTTTTGTATTTTTAGTATAGACGGAGTTTTACCATGTTTCTCAGGCTGGTCCCAAACTCCTGAACTTGTGATTCACCCTCCTTGGCCTCCCAAAGAGCTGGGATTACAGGTGTGAGCCACCATGCCTGGCTCACTTCATTTTCTATACTCCTATGTATCCATTTTGATTGTTTTTTGTTTATACTTACTATTTGTATTCAAATGACTTCATTTTTCCCGCCCTGTGGGTCAGTTTGTGACTTTTGGAATTTTTCACAGGCACCTATACAACTTGATATTTGAAAATAGGGTTCATTATCATATACACCAAACCCCCATTTTCTTTTTAAATAGGCCTCATTGCCTAATGCCTTTGTCCTGAAAAGTGTCACCACCCTTCATATTTTTACCCCAACCTTGGAGTTACCTTTTTCTACTCTGCATTCTCCATGTCCAAAAACTTGCTGTCAGTCCAGTTGTTAATCGGTTTTGTCTTTGACGCTTGATCTCCCGTTTGCCTCATCTCTGTATAGCCTTTCATGTAGATAAGAAGCCCAGGTTACTGTAATTCTTTTTTTCCAATTTCTTTGCTCTCAGGATCCCCATCTTGTATAAAGTTTACAAGGTGATCCTCCTGAAACTCCATTTTTACAATATCTAATTTTCACTAAGTAACACTCAGTAGATAATTCCTGTCAAGCAGTGGTGTTCCAAATTATCCATTACCCCTGTGCTTAACAGTTGTCAGCCTTCATTACTCTTTAGCATATTCACCTTGATTCAACAGATTCAAACTTCCTACAGCCACTGATGATGGCTTACCAGCTCTTGCTTCTGTGCCTTTCTCATGCTGTTGTTTTTGCTTAGATTGGTCTTTGGTCCCAGCTATGTTCATCACTCCCTTCAAAGCATAGCTATCTTTATATCTTCTGAGTGAGCTCTCCCTGATTGGCATCACTCATGTGGTGACCTCCCTCATTCTGTGCTGCCTCAGCACTTATCTTTTGAGTTTGTACTGTCTCCATGCACTCACTAATATGTTGCTTTGTAATGATTTTCTAGCACTCTGTTACCATTTCGTATTTGTATTTATTTCCAAAATTAAATTGTAAGCTCCTTGAGGGCAGGAAAAATTATATTTGTATCTCTGCACCCCTTAGTGCCTAGTATAGTGCTGAGCACATAGTAGGCGTTTAATAAATGCTTGTTGAAGTATTGTGTGGATTATTTGTGGTGTTATCTACAGAAGTTTTTAAGCTGTTTTCAAGAATGTCTGTTACCACTTTGGGTGCTCAAAAATGTAACCTGTTTCCATATACTAGTATAGTATATCAGGATCTACCTGTACCTAAAAGTAAGGCCAAAAAATTTCAACTTTAGGAGAGTATGTGTGAAAAGCTGAAGCTCTCCATTTGGCTAGCCTTGTTTGTCAAGAAAGAAAATAAGAAGCACTAAAGACTATTGTGTTAAGGTTATAATTCCAAAGTGCTTGAGAATAGGTTTTGTGTATCAGATTAGTGGTTCTCTTTGGGAGAAATTTGGCAATGGCTGGGGACATTTTTGGTCATACCATTGGTGGGCAGCTGGGATGCTGCTGGCATCTAGTGGGTAGAGGCCAGGGATGCTGCCAAACATCATGTTTGCGGAGGACACCCCCGACCCACCCTGCCCCACAACAAAGAATTATCTGGCCCCCAATCCTTAACGCTGAGGTTTCAAGACTCAATATATTTAAGGTAAATAGGAGAAAGAGATACGAAGTACTGGCAATACAATTAGAAAAATTAGCTCTGCCTAGCTTTAAGAGAATCCTAAGTGTGTGCATATTTTGTGGTTTGTAAAACTATAAAATGAAAAGAAGCCTTAGTGTTTGGTGTTCACAGCAACATATGTCAGTGTTGATAAACCATAAAATTATTGATCATGTTTTAGGGTTGCTTTCAGCATCAGATCTGCCATCATCCCTATGCCAAATGTTTCGGCATACAAGTGTCACAGAAATACAATTCTAGTTTTAGTCTTCCACACCTTGGTTCATTATAGCATCAAAGGCGAAACACTGGGGGCTGTCTTTAGCAGAGGGACTGTAACATCAAAGATTCAGCCTTGAGAACAACATGACCCTCAGTTCCTTGGACAGCCACTAGGCTGGAATTACCAGCCCTCCAAGGAAACCACAAGCCAGAATATTGTCAGTTTGCCAAGTAAAACCATTCCAGTTTTACTTGTTTTAACATACTGTTTTAATCTTTTTTTGGAAGGCAAATATGTAGGAGGAAATGTGATTCCCAGGATTAAATCTTTAAAAAGCAGGCCTTTAGAAGCACTAGCTTCCATCTGCAGTTCAATGGCACTTTATTCAGCAGGTTTAGAAAGTTTCAGCACCTGGGTTCAGTGGTTCATGCTTGTAATCCCAGCACTTTGGTAGGATTGCTTAAGGCTATTCAAGAGCAGCCTGAGCTACAGCAAGACTGTACAAAAAAGTTCAAAAAATAAAATTAATAGGCTGTGGTGGTATGTGTCTGTAGTCCCAGCTACTCAAAAGGATACGGTGGGAGGATCTGTTGAGCCTGCAGTGAGCTATGATTGTGTGACTGTACTCCAGTGCCACT